AAACACAGGTAGAGGGTGTGACTAACAGGCCTCTGCCTCAAGATTTACATATTAATGAATTACCTAAAGGCTGGGTGACATAGGTAACTAAGTTTTCCCCTCCCTGGCCCCTCCTCTTTCCCGCTCCCCATATAAGGGAGCTCCTCCTGGCATTTGGGGAGAGTGCACTTCATCTAGACACAACTATCATCATGGAAAATAAACTTTCATCTTTGATTCCATTTGTCTCCTGAAAATTTAGACTTTCTTTCATAAGTGGGAAACTCTCCTGCTGCAGCAGCCCGCAGGACTCCCTACCCGCAGCAGTAGTCCGTGCACCCACACCCTTGCAGGCTGCCTCAATCACTCCTCTGGGGATTCTCTGCCCCACCACCGGGCCACGCTGGGTCCCAGTGCCACTGCTCCCAGAACCCTGCTGTTACCACAGAGCGCGGGCAGGGCCAAACAGCCACCCCCCCCCCACGGGCCATGTTCTCAAGTTCTTTCCCCTCACCCATGGTTTGCAGGTGGCTTGCATCGCTGAGTCACGCAGGCTGCTGACTCCACCGCTACTCCAGGGACCACCTTGGCCATGGCACGCAGGTGGGCCAGACATGCCCTGCACCCCACGCGAGTTCAAACCCACACTTTTTCTCAGCACCTCATGGTACCTTCTCCAAAATAGACTATATAAGTGGACACAAAACAGGCCTCTACAGATACAAAAAGATTGAAATAATCCCTTGCATCCTATCAGATCACCAGAGACGAAGGCTGGTCTTTAATAATGACAAAACCACTGGAAAACCCACATGCACATGGAAACTGAACAACTCTCTACTCAATGATGACTTGCTCAAGGAAGAAATAAAGAAAGAAATTAAAGACTTTTAGAATTTAATGAAAATTTAAATTTTAATGAGGACACATCATACCAAACTTGTGGGACTCCATGAAGGCAGTGCTACAGAGGAAAACTCATAGCTCTAAGTGTCTACCAAAAGATACTAGAGAGGACATACATTAACAACTTGACAGCACACCTGAAAGCTCTAGAACAAAACGAAGCAAATACACCCAGGAGGAGTAGAAGGCAAGAAATTTAAAAAAAAAAAAAAAACCTCAGGGCTGAAATCAACCAAGTAGAAACAGAAAAAAAACTATACAAAATATCAACAAAACCAGGAGTTGGTTCTTTGAAAAAGTCAACAAGATAGATAAAACCCTAGCCAGAATAACCAGAGGGCACAGAGACAGTATCCAAATTAATAAAATCAGAACTGAAAAGGGAGACATAACAACAGAAACAGAGGAAATTCAAAAAATTATCAGATCTTACTATAAAGGCCTTTATTCAACAAAACTGGAAAATCTGGATGAAATGGACAATTTCCTAGACAGATACCAAGTACCAAATTAATTCAGGAGCAAATAAAGCATCTAAACAGTCTCCTTACCCCTAAAGAAATAGCCGCAGTCATTAAAAGTGTCCCCACAAAAGAAAGCCCATGTCCAGATGGTTTTAGTGCAGAATTCTATCAGATATTCAATGAATACCTAATGCCAATTCTCTTCAAACTAATCGACAAAGTAGAAACAGAAGGAACACTACACAATTCATTCTATGGAGCTACAATCACACTCATACCAAAACCTCACAAAGACTCAACAAAGAAAGAGAGCTTCAGACCAATTTCCCTTATGAATATCGATGCAAAAATACTCAATAAATTTCTAGCCAACCAAATCCAAGAACACATCAAAACAATGATCCATCATGATCAAGTAGGTTTTATCCCAGGAATGCAGGGGTGGTTCAATATTCGGATATCCATCAATGTAATCCAATATGTAAACAAACTCAAAAGAAAAAAAACACATGATCATCTCACTAGATGCTGAGAAAGCATTTGACAAAATTCAACATTCCTTCATGATAAAAGTCTCAGAAAGATCAGGAATTCAAGGCCCATACTTAAACATAGTAAAAGCAATATAAAGCAAACCAGTAGCAAAATCAAGCTAAATGGAGAGAAACTGGAAGCAATCCCACTAAGATCAGGGACTAGACAAGGCTGGCCACTCTCTCCCTACCTACTCAATATAGTACTAGAAATCCTAGCCAGAGCAATTAGACAGCAAAAAGAACTCAAAGGGATACAAGTAGGGAAGGATGAAGTCAAAATATCATTATTTGCAGATGTTATGTTAGTATACTTAAGTGACCCCAAAACTTCCAACAGAGAACTCGTAAACCTGATAAACAACTTCAGCAAAGTGGGTGGTTATAAAATTAACTCAAACAAATCAGTAGCCTTCCTCTACATGAAAGATAAAACAGACTGAAAAAGAAATTAGGGAAATGACAACCTTCACAATAGTCACAAACAATGTAAAATACCTTGGTGTGAATCTAACCAAGCAAAGGAAAGATCTCTATGACAAAAACTTAAAGTCTCTGAAGAAAGAAATCGAAGAAGATCTCAGAAGATGAAAAGATCTCCCATGCTCATGGATTTGCAGGATTAATAAAATAATAATGGCCATCTTGCCAAAAGCAATCTACAGATTCAATGCAATCCCAATTAAAATCCCAACTCAATTCTTCACACAGTTAGAAAAATAAATTCTCAAATTCATTTGGAATAACAAAAAACCAGGATAGAGAAAACTATTCTCAACAAAAAAAGAACTTCTGGAGGAATCACCATCCCTGACCTCAAGCTGTACTACAGAGCAATAGTGGTAAAAACTGTGTGGTATTGGTACAGAGACAGCCAAGAAGATCAATGGAATAGAATTGAAGACCCAGAAATGAACGCACACACCTATGGTCACTTGAACTTTGACAAAGGAGCTAGACTCCAGACAACCAAATAACCCTTTTAAAAAATGGGGTATAGAGCTAAACAAAGAATTCTCAACTGAGAACATTTGAATGGCAGAGAAACACGTAAAGAAATGTTAAGCATCCTTAGTGAATCAGGGAAATGCAAATCAAAACAACCCTGAGATTGCACCTCACACCAGTCAGAATGGCTAAGATCAAAAACTCAGGTAATAGTAGATTCTGGCAAGGGTATGGAGATAGAGGAACACTCCTCCATTGTTAGTGGGATTGCAAGATGTGCAACCAATCTGGAAATCGGTCTGGTGGTTCCTCAGAAAATTGGACATAAAATTACCTAAGGATCCAGCTATACCACCCCTTGACATATACCCAGAAGATGCTCTAACATATAACAAGGACATATGCTCCACTATGTTCATAGCAGCCTTATTCGTAATAGCCAGAATCTGGAAAGAGCCCAGATGTCCTTCAACTGAGGAATGGATTCAAAAATTGTGGTACTTTTACACAATGGATTATTACTCAGCTATTAATAACAATGAATTTGAGAAATTCTTAGGTAAATGGATGGAACTAGAAAATATCATCCTGAGTGAGGTAACCCAATCACAAAATAACACACATGGTATTCACTCACTGATTTTTTTGTATTAGCCTAGAATCTTGAAACACCCAAGATTCAACTCACAGACCACATAAAGCTCATGAAGAATGAAGACCAAGTCAGGGTGTTTCTGTCCTTCTTAGAAGGAGCAACAAAATACTCAAGGGAGCAAATATGGAGACAAAGTGTAGGACAGAAACTGAAGGAGAGGCTCTGGAGACCATTCCACCCATGTATCCATCCCATGTGCAGGTCACCAATGGTAAATGCTGATGTGGATGTCAGGAAGTGCATGCTGGCAGAAGCCTGATATGTCTGTCTCCTTAGAGGTCTGAAAGAGTCTGACCTATTCAGATGCAGATGCTCACAGCTAACCATTGAACAGATCGTGGGATTCCCAATGGAAGAGTTAGGGTCAAGACTGTAGGAGTTGAAAGGGTTTGCAACCCCATGAGGAGAGCAGCAATACCAACCAACCAGACTCCCAGGGTCTAAACCACCAGCCTGAGAGCACTTAGGGAGGGATCCATGGCTCCAGCTGGATAGGCAAGGGAGCATGGTCCTGTCAGGTATAGTGGGGAAAGGCGATCCTTAGTCCCATGATGGCTGGATGCCGTGTGTAGGGGGAATTTGAGGGTGGGAAGGTGGGTGTGGGGAGATAGGTTGGAGGACATCCTCATAGAAGCAGGAGAAGGGGGGATAGGGGTGTTCCTGGGTGGAAGGTGGGGGGAAATGGGATAAGGGGATAACACCTGAAATGTAAATAAAATATCCAATAATTATAATAATAATAACAATAATAATAGTAATAATAATGAAGAAATTAAACCTCATGTTTTCTCTCCTTTTTGTGTCCTATATATTTAAAGACTCATAAAACACTGTGTGCCTTTGTGTGTGTGTGTGTGTGTGTGTATGCATGTGAGTGGGCACATATGTATGTCACATGGAACTAAGTGGAAGGCTAGGGATTGGAACTGTGTTAGTTGGAGGGAAAAGTGATGACAGAAAAAAAAGGGGGTGACAGAAAGAAGAAACAGGAGGAATGAAGATTGTCAAAATACATGATATAATTTTATATTATTTTGGAAAGTCAACATTATATGTGTAAATACAGAACCTTAACCAGAAGAAGTGGAGGGATATTGCCAGGAGTCCAAAAGTGAGGGAGACTTTTTAGAGCTGAGCTAAGCAAAAGCCAAGTTCTCTTCTGCATCCACCAGTGGGAATATAGCCTGACAGGCTCTTGATTTAGCCCATGGAGACTCACAGTGGAGATTTGCACTCCAGAATTTAGGATAATAAATTTGTCATACTCAATACACAGAATCTAAGCATGAGAAATAAAAAAAAGACATAAATGTCTTTACTTTCTTTTTTGCCATAAGGACCTTCCAAGTCAAAGTGTCTGTTCATTAACTTTCTACCAAATGTTGCAACAGATAGGCATAGCAGCTGCAGGCAGAAGGGGAAGTGTGTAGGTCTGGGGATGTGTGGTACAGGCACCTGGTTAGAATCTCAGAGGAGGTTTGTGTAGGAGGCTGAAGCACTGTGAGAGGAGAGCTGCTATACTGCTGACAAAATAAATGCCTGGGTCTTCAGCCTGCACACTGCTGATAGAGTGAAATCTTTCCCAGATCCACCGCCTGTGAAGCGATCAGGGACCCCAGTGTACCTGTTGGATGCTCCGAAGATCAGAGGTTTAGGCGACTGCCCTGATTTCTGTTGGTACCAGGATAAAGCACTAACCACATTCTGAATGGCCTTGCAGGTCAAGGACATGGGTTTGGGAGACTGGGTCATCACAATGTTTCCATCAGCACCTGCAATCAGAAATAGATAAGTATACATGTGTACACACAAAGACTTCATGATACAAATGTTATCATCTAAAATGTCCTTTCTATTGGCATTGTCTGATTACTATTGACGTCCTATAGAAAATAGCTATTTCTCTACAAATGAAATATTTTAAGATATTATAATACTTTTAAATGTCTCACCAGACAACCAGAGCAATAGGAATATGAAGACTTTATTCTCTGACTCCATCTTAATGCCTGTGCTGGTCTGATACATTTCAGATCTCACTGCAAAGGCCTGGTTTATAAATCCAGGCAGCTGGGCTGCCCTCTAGGGACCTATGCAACATGGTCATCAAATTAGGAAGTAATTTGCCTGGACACAGGTATGTGAGAGCATTCAGGACAAATCAACTGCCAAAAGTACAATCAAAGGCAGGAAGTAATCACTGGGAAAGAAGTCAACACAGAAGCTCAAGGACCAACATAAAGCTCTTGAACCACAAGTGTCTAGCTGCTCTCATCACAGACTTCCTTTAAAAATCAATAGGGCAGGTTTTTTAAGGTTTCATTTTAGATGGATAGATAGTTAGATAGATAGATAGATAGATAGATAGATAGATAGATAGATAGATAGATAGATGCATACATACATACATACATACATACATACATACATAAATACATACATAGAGGTAGAGACAGAAAGATAGAGATAGAGAGATAGATAATAGAGATAGAGAGATAGAGAAATAGAGATGGGATTAATACATTGTGGCTGTCTTCACACACACAAGAAGAGGGCATCAGTCCTATTACAGATAGTTGTGTGCCACTATATGGTCACTGGGAATTGAACTCAGGACCTCTGATAGGGCCGTCAGTGCTCTTAACTGCTGAGATGTCTCTCCAGCCCCAAGAGATGAGTTTTGCAGAAAAAATAGTACAACTACTTTTGATTTAATCCTGAGGAAACGATATATCATGTGAAACAACAACAAAACAAACAGGAGAAGTGGAAAAGAAGAAAGGAAATAAAGAAGGGAGAGGGAAAGAGAAGGGGAGAGGAAATAAAGAAGAAGGAAAGAAAAAAAGAAAGAAAGAAAGAAAGAAAGAAAGAAAGAAAGAAAGAAAGAAAGAAAGAAAGAAAGAAAGGAAGGAAGGAAGGAAGGAAGGAAGGAAG